CTAATCGCGAGACATCGTGATCAAAGACTGCAAGAACAGAATGGTGTTTCTTATAGACATTGTAATGTATTATTAAAGATCTTTAAAAGTCTATCAGAATACAATGATCCTGAAATGGAAATCTAAAAAATGTGGCACATGCAGACATCAATAATTCCATTTGGAGTTGGAGTTGATTGGAAAAAGTTCCGATAGACTCATTGAAAGGGTTCCTGTTAGCCCATATATTAAATAAATACAAAAATTGTATTCACAAATACAGCTTACGCATTAGGAAGTGATTTATGTAATATGTATATGATCTTAAGGGTTTCTTTGTTTCTACAAAAATGATCAGTGGAAAATGTCGTGAAGCCATTTCTGACCTTAGGTCTCTGGTTGGGACTCGGAAGGAAATGTGTATACAACAGAAATCACAAGAAATAATAATAATAATAATAATAATAATAATAATAATAATAACGTGTTGTGGTTGGAGCTCTGGGTTTGATAAAGAAATAAACTCAATAAGTGATCAATAAACATCCTTGGTGCACCATCTCTCTGGAAAATCCAAAAACATCTTTCGTTTGCCCTAGGTCAAAGGTTATGACCCGGCATGAAACAAATGCAGGTCAAAAAGAAATGTTTTTAAATAATAATAAGCTTCTTTCTAAGCATAACATGCATCATCCAAAGGTTGAAGCAAACCGCATATACATACCCCGTAAAGAAGGTGGAAGAAGTCTTATTCAGCTAGAATTGACATATAAGACAGCAACTATTGGTTTACTCACATACATGGAAACAACAAATGAATGGATGATACAATTAGTCAAACACGGAAACAGAAAGAAAAAATATTCAATAATGAAATAAGGTTGTAAATACAAACGAAATTTACATTTAGTGCATTCTATAGAAAATCAAAACATAACCCAAGAACCGACTGTTGCAGCAAAACCAAGGATAAAGCTCTTGAAGAAATGAAACAACGCTGGCAAGACAAACCTCTGAATGGCCAATATTCAGAACGAGGCTAATAAAGCCGATGTTGATAAACTTAAAACTCATCGATGGTTACAAGAATCTGGAAAACGGAAAGCTTTATTTTTGCAGCGCTAAACCAGTCTTTTCATTAGAAACTTTCAGATAAATATGCATAATAGTGTGGATTCAAAATTTAGGATCTTTGACAAATTTCAGGAAACAATAGACTATATTATCTCAGGATGTAATTGCGTCAAATGGATATAAAATCGTCGCAATAGAGTGGGGCAATACTTACACTGTACAATGTGCAAACGCTTTGGAAAAGATGTTAATAAACACTGGTATGAACATCACCCAGCACCAGTAAAAGAAATAGAAGACATCACAATTCTGTGGGATTAAATCATCTTTACAGACAGGAAGATTGAAGCAAATAGGCCGGACATAATTGTCAAAAACCGAAAAGAAAAAACTTGCCAAGTAATTGATTTAGCTTGCTCAGCGGAATGTAACATAGCAACCAAGGAATTTGAAAAAAAAAAAAAACTATGAAAGTATAAAGGCCAGGAAATCGAAATAGAAAAAAAAATGTGGAAATTGAAAACAAGAGTAGTACCAGTCATAGTAGGCGCACTTGGAATGACAAAAATAGAACACAAATAACACATTGAAAAGGCCATGAAATCCTAGCTTGAGATAAATATACAAAAATTGTCTTGATAAGTACAGTCCTTTCACATTGTCCGTGTAACATTAGTGATATTATGGTAGTTAGAAAAACAAACCGTTAAATGTAGCTATATGAACACACCATTACTTGCACTATGTCTTCCTGTAGACTTGGTAGGTAGTGTGACCAGAAGAGAAATCAAAATATTATAGTGATGATGATATAACAATATCGTTTGAGTAAATTATATCAGGTTGAGTCATAAGTAATGTTCGCTTATGGGAACAAATTGTAATACAAATGCATCATAACAGTTGATGAAAAATGGGTTTTGTACGACAATGATGAATACAAAAGGCAGTGAATTGACAAAAACAAATCTACATAACCGAACCTAAATGCTGAATTCCATGGAAGAAAGCTAATGTTTTGCGTGTGGTGAGATCGTCTGGTGCTATTCATTTAGTGCTCTTAAAACACAAATACAGTGTAACCCGGGTATAAGGGACCCGGATATAAGAGAAACTCGGATATAAGAGAGATTTTCTCTGGTCCCAAATTAGAGCCTGTGTTAATGTATATAAAATAGACCAAACCCGGATATAAAAGACTTCTTCTCCGGTCCCGACAACTCTCTTATATCCGGGTTGCACTGTAACTAAATGCTCATTTATACGTCAAGCAACTGCAAAGTGTCCATAAAAGTTTAGTCGAAAAGCGCCCCGCGTTCGTCAATAGAAAACATGTTGTTCACCTTTATGACAACGCAAAGCTGCTCACATCAAGAAAAACATGTTGGGTTGGGGATGAAACTCAGTTGGTTTGTTCTACCCCCACCGCCTTGACTTTGAATCCAACCATTTATTATCTTTTTTTGATCGCTGCCAAACGCTTCGATGGGGAAAATTTCTCCCATGAAAACCGGATTCAAGAGTTTGTTGAAAGCTTTTTTTTCCCTCATAAACCTACAGAATTTTTACTCAAAATCGCTCGAAGAGGTTCCTGATAATTGGCAACAGGTCATTGCAAATAATGGTGAATATATAATTGAATAAAATATAATTGGACTTTATTTTTGGTAGAATAAATTTTATAAACAAAAGCGGAAATTATTTATGACTTCGCCAAATATTTTTAACAGTCGATTTACGGAATTGAAACTATTAAATGATTTTTTATCACTTTTATTCCTTATCATAATTTTTTATTTTTGTATTCAAACTGAAATGTTTGTGTTGTATCTACGCTTAACGGAGTTACCGTTCAGGAGAGAAACGATATTGATTGTACAAAATCTGCATTGAAGAATAAACTTTATATGTAATTTGAAAAAGGTCTTAACTGCATAATTTTGCTGCTGCTTCAGCCAAATTTAAATGCAGGGCTTCTCATGAAATAAACTTTGGTGCAAGGGATTGTAAATATTAAAATACATTTGGTATACATTAAGAGAAAAGAATTTATAATGACAACAATATTAATAATAAAGTGATAGATAGATTTTAGATGTGTACATGAAATAAGCTTTTGAGTAAAAGGCTGTAAAAAGTAAAATAATTTTAATACACGCTAATAAATAATCATATAATAATTGTGCTTGCCCCTCCCTTCGTTAGTTCACACGGCCGTTATGCCTTGTCATTACTTTATAAATAATGTACTATTCCATTTTGATCGCGTAGAAAGACAAACGAATTATGAGAAACACTACTTGGTTTCAGTGAAAAAAAAAGAAAGAAATAAAGAAATATAGAAGTGTTTAACAATTCTGGCTAATAACTAATAAATAATGAACTATTCCATTTTGATTGCGTGGAAAGTAAAATGACTTATCAGAAACGTTACTTGGTTTCAGTGAAAAAAATAAATAAAGACAGAAATGTTTAACGTCTCCTGCCAATATCTCATAAATAATGGACTAGTCCATTTTGATCGCGTGGAAAGACAAATGATTTATCAGAAACAAAGTTTGATTTCAGTGAAAAAAAGAAGGAAAAAAGATACGTGTTTAACGTCTCCTGCTAATACCTCATAAATAATGGCCTATTCCTTTTTGATCGTGCGGAAAGTGGGGACATTAATTGGTTTCAGTGAGACAGAAAGAAAGAAAGAAAGAAAGAAAGAAAGAAAGGTAGGTTAGCAGTCAGGCAGGCCGTAAAACTAGAAGTGTTTAACGTCTGTTTTAGTGAAATGGAAAAAGTTGTCAATTCCAAATCTTTTCATTTGCACCTCCTTACTTTTTAAAATAACGACCAGTATTCATATTTTATGATTGTTATTGCAATATTTTGTTGATGTTAAGCTCAACTATTTAACGATGCGATTAGGGGAATTTCTACGGATATTTTATTGAGGTTATTCATCAATCATTAACTTAGAAATTAAGATTCATCAGAAATTTCAAATAGGAAAACCGTGATTTTTTTACCGGTTAAAACTAGTAATAATAATATTAATAATATATAATGGAGACATAGTCTTTTAGATGTATACATGAAATAAGCTTTGGAGTAACCGTTTACGACCGCGAAACCCGTGACCCATCTCATATACTGCAGCCGCGGTAGAAGTGGTGTTTTTTGGGCAAGATAGGATGGCGGAGCCCAACCATCTCCAGGCTGGTTTTGAATTCAGAGTTACCTTCTTCTAGACCGGTTGCAACCCAAGGCTATTGAACCTAGTGTGTTCTGCTATTTACCCATAGCTGGGGTGAGGAGAAGAAAAGGATTCATGCCTTCCCCAAAGGTATTAGTATGTAAGTGAATGTAAAGAATTCGACTAGAATTCAAACTTGGCTCTCCGATTCCTCAATTCCGAGTTGCTATCCATTATTCCACCGTCTGTAGAATATGGAATATTATGAACAGGAATAATATAGAACTGATCGGAAATGAAGATTAAGAAACAGAATATTTTCCATTTCTGGATAACGTTCGTTGAAACATTTTACCCATTTTCTCTATCGTAACAAGTTTCGCTTTTATTAAACAAGGATGTGTAGTTCTGTATTTTGTCCTGAAAATTGTGAAGCAACAACCATTTAAAGTGGATCTCAGATATTCCTGATTTCTTTTTGCTTTGTCAGCGAAGAAACATACGTGATTCATCAAACGTAAAGCAAGAGATAGACGATTATCGGTGGTCGGATTAGTAGAAGATTAAGACCAGATAATCTCTTAATCCATGTCTATTGGTAGAATGAGTATGATTATAATTCTTGTCATTGTATAAAAGACGGAAGTGGATGAAAGAAAGAAGAAAAAAAGAGAGAAAGAAATACAAAGAGAAAAATAAATAAGACAAAAAGTAAAAAGAAGGATGAGAAATAAATAAAAACCAAATCATGTTTTAAAAGAGATTAACAAAGGGAAAGATTAAAAGATAGACACGGACAAGGATTTAAACAAATTATATCGAGAATAGAAAAGTTAGGAAAAAAGAAGAAAGGGACGATGAGGGAGACTTTGAAAGAGATAATGAGATTAAGAACTAAAGAAAAGGGAAAGGAATTAGAGAGAAAGAGAAAGAGATGGGAGTGAAAGGGAGAGAGAAGGAGAAGAAGAGGAGAGAGAGAGAGAGAGAGAGAGAGAGAGAGAGAAAGACATAGAGGAGTATTGAAAAAGTACTGGACGTATGGAGTGAGATTGTTAAACTAAACGACAAACATATAGTGAAGAAAAGATTATATATATATATATATATATATATATATATATATATATATATATATATATATATATATATAGAGGTAATAAATCCGTTGGGGTATAATCCAAGTGGATCTTAGTTATATAAAATATTAAAACTGATCCACAAAAAGAGCTCAATATTTATTAATAGAGAGCAATATAATTAACAAACAATAAAATCCCAAATTACTTCATATGTCGAATAGCTTATTTTGGCAGACGAAGATATCGGCCGTCTGTCTTATCAACTCCGGTGTGGAGTGAGTTCGTGTCTATACCGTTAGAGTGGGGGGCGTGAAATAGAATTTAACTGTGAAAGCTAAAAAATTCAACCTATCGAAAAACTAATACAAAATTTATCCATTTCAATGTTTCAGCCAGACACAAGGCACGAGACATACATACAGCGTGTATAAAAAATAATTTTACAAACTTTAAGAGTGGCTTCCTGACACCAAAACAAAGTAAAATATCCATATAAACATATGTCCAAAAAGCCATCGTGGTACTTCAACACAGCAACTCGTAACAAATGTTCAAAATGTCCTACGTTTGCTTCTACACTTGCATACACCCGTCGGATCATTGACTGGTGAACCCTTTCAAATACTCCCACATAGTGTCAAATAGTTTCGCAGGTCCCCATGACACGTTGACGAAGTGTCTCTGCATTATTAATGTCTGTTGCATAAACCAATTGATTTAGGTAGCTCCACAGATAAAAATCCAAAGGACTTAGGTCGGGGGAACGTGCAGTTCATGGAACCATTCCTTCCCTACCTATCCACTTTTCATGATAGATTCCAGCCAGTGCATCGTGAACAATGTGACTAAAATGTGCTGGAGCTCCATCAGGCATGAACCACATGTGTCTTTGAATTAGCAGGAGTACATCCTCTAGCAGGTCTGGAAGGGTGTTCGAAATAACGTCCTTGTAGACAGCTCCTGTAAGACGTGCTGGGAGAACATATGAACCTAGCAGACAGTCACTTACAATTCCAGCCCACACATTAATCGTAAACTGATGCTAGTGTCTAGCCTGTATTTTACCATGGGGTTCCGATCGGTGTACAAATGTTGGTTGTGTAAATTTGCTATTCCTCTCTTCAAAAATGTTGTCTCATCCGCAAACAAGACTGAAGAGACAAACAACGGATCGGCAGTTTTATCTAATAAGATTTCTTAAATATTCAGGTTGGTAGATGAATATAAATAAATATATTGTTTGATAAATAATCGGAACGTCTACTCAAACATGGATATCCACTAATAATAATGTTTAAGTAATAATAATTAATAAATAAATAATCCATTTTTTCTTTAGAAATTGTTTTGTTTATTTTAGGATATGAAACTGAGCATATATAAATGTTTCGAGAGTCTGAGAAAGATTTGCGTTTATAAGGCACTATTCAACTTTGCGTGATCGGAGACGGACTTCGTGGATGAGTCGAAGACACGTCTGATCTAACAACGGTTTCACTTGTCAAGGGGGACGCAGGTTCGAATCCTAACGGAGAGCGCATATCTTTCTTTAATAACATTTTTCGAATCTTTAGGACGGTAAACGAAAATAAATAAATATATTGTTTAATAGTCAACTCAAATTTTCGTATCCAGTAATAAGAACCTTGAAGTAATTATTATTCTATATAAACAAAGAATTAAATAGCGAAATAAAGAGAGATGGAAACTGTAAAATAGAAAGTAGAGAGAGAGAGAGAGAGAGAGAGAGAGAGAGAGAGAGAGGTAGGGGGGCTGTAAACGACTGTTTCTTTGTAAATAGATTATCTGAGATAGAGATTCAAATATTTCTATGTACAGTGAAACTGTTTTCGCATATTTACCGAATCAGAAATTGTTAACTTTCTCCCAATATATTTGAAGACATAAATGGCTATTAATAAAGTTTCTCTTTTATCTTACATTGTTTTTAAATTTTAAGATCAGGTCATTTTTGGCGTTTCATTACAGTGCTGTCGGAACAATAAAAGTTCTTTACCTCTGTTGAATAGTTGAGTCTCCTCGTCGCTAATAGACTATTTCACTTTGTGCTAAGTCTCGTGGATTCTAAATAACTCTCGCGGGTTATTTTACGTAAATGACCCTTATGTAAAGTATCTCTGAGAATCATTTGAATACAAAGGCAGATTACAGAACTGTATATGGAGTGGTTCAAATATTGCGCCACGATTTCAAAGAACGCGCATTTGCAAAAATGCAACTGTAGGCCATTTAAATAGCATCATATTTTAATTAGGCCAACAAAATTTCCAAATGATATATTTGATATCTGTCTATATTTCTGAGATGAAGTATTTTAATTATTTACATTGTTCGGACTGTTGTCCTCATATTTATTGCCATATTCACGAGGCTGGAGGTGACTGGAATTTTGAACTGAACCCTTTATTTCATCCACCGGGGTAGATTATTATAGTTCCACGTGTCATGGCCCTTTCAGACGTCTCTCCTTAACTAAACTCTCAAAGTTTTTGCTCATCACTTTTGTAGCCAGTTATTGAACTCACAATATGGCACATTGGATAAAAGCGTTGGTTGGATCCAGTGGCTTGACCCAAAGAGGTCTGAGTTCAATACATTGCTACTGTCGTGGTGAACAAAAACTTGGAGGGTTGAATTAAAGGGAGATAACTGAGACTCCTGGAAGAAGCATGGCACTATAACAATTTACCCCGATGGGCGAAATAAAGGGCTCAGTTCGATGAGGACAACAGTCCGAACAATGTAAATAATATATTTGAATATAGCGATTTTCTTATCGCTAATACAAGCTTGTTAACCATTACACCACGTCAAAGTGTCCATAATGCATATAAAGAAACTATTTTATTTATTAAATGAATAAACATGTTATCGGTTCCGATTTTTAGCGCATCTTCTATATCGTCCGACTTGTCGTTTCTTGTATCTCTTATTGGAACAGTCAATTGAGCGAGCAGGTGATAGTGAACACATTTTGACACCTTAAGAGCGAGTCTGTAGTACATAAAGAGTAAACTCCCGGCTAAATTTAAGCACACCTTGTCTGGCCTTTGGAGATTTATCCAATAACGTCATGGTTTTACCAATTAGGCTACAAGAAAAGTGTTAAACCAATTTATTTCTATAGTTATAGTCTTATATATTTATATTCCTTCTACACTATATTGTTTGTTTAGACTTCGTAAAGTAGTAGTTACGTAATAGTAGTAGTTGTAATAGTTATGTAGTAATAATAATAGTTACATAGTAGTAGACGTTACGTAGTAGCATTAGTAGTTGTAGTATTAGTAGTAGTTCCGTAGCAGTAGTTGTAGTAGTAGTTACGTCGTAGCAGTTATGTCGTCGTTGTTGTAGTATTAGTAGTAGTAATAGTAGTTACGTAGTAGTTGTAGTAGTATAACTTACGTAATAGTAGCAGTAGCTGTAGTATTATTAGTAGTTACGTAGTAACAGTAGTAGTATTAGTGCTAGTTACTGAGTAGTAATGTAGTAATAATAGTAATGTAGAAGTTTTGGGAGTATTAGACGTTTCGCAGTAATAGTAGTAGTAGTAGTAGTAGTAGTGGTAGTAGTGGTAGAGATAATAATCTTAATTTCTTCAAATTCCTCCTTAAATGAAGCAATGTCATTATTGTTTCTATATTTCGTTAGTTTTTCTTTCAATTAATAACGAAAAACATTTTGGGGGCAATTTGAAGATATGTAGTTCGTGAATTTAATGGCATCTACGTAGTACGGACATTTAAGACACCCCATTCGAAAAAGGAATACTCTAGAAATTATTAGAGGATAAACCGAATGTTAATGGAACAGCGTGCATCTGCCTGGTTTGTTCAGTTCAAAATAACTCTTTTTGTGCAATTTCATGAATTTCTATTTATGAAATTGCAATATCTGGAGAAAAAGTGGATCTTATATGGCATCAAATTTACTTCCTTACAGAATTTCACCCAATACAAGACACGAGAGTCCCTCAAGGTAGAGGGTTACTGTTAAAAGGCGAATATGTGATATGAATGAAAGAGGCGGTAGTAGAAAGTGAAAATTATGAAGATAAGGAGGATAAATAACGATTGACCCTTGGCTAACGACCGTATCAAGACGAAACATTGGTTCCCGTACAATCGCCGAAGTTAAAAAATGTCGAGCCTGGTCAGTACCTAAATGGCTGACTGCTTGGGAGAAGCATGTGTTGTAAGCTTGGATGTGCAGGTGGTGTAATGGATAACGGCCAGGAATGGTTAATCATAGAGCCGAGTTCCAATTCCCGTTGGGTTTTATTATATTCACTTGCGCGCAAATACACTTGTTATCCCCCCACCTATCGGTTAATTAGTAAGACTTATATCACAAAGCCATAATCATCTCACCGCACCAAAAAATTCTTAACATCGAAAAATATCTTCTGGCTTTAAATAACTTGCAAAGGGTTGATAAGCCGGAGAAAATGAATGAATGAATCAAGCAGGCAATGTCGCTTTGTTGAACAGAATCCCAGAAGGATATTTTCCAGGATTCTACAGTCTTAACCTCATCAAGACTTGGGTTACCGCTATCATTCACACATATACACCACTTACTCTTACTGTTCATACAATAACCGCCATCAGTAACCCTCTATCTTGAATGCCCTCAGGCCTTGTAGAGAAGGATCGTCATCGGCTTTATCTCGAAGAATTTAATTTCTTCTTTGTTGATTGCTTCCTTTATGATGATGATGTTGATGACAACATTCATCACCAACGTGCAGGTTCAGGACTAGAAGCTTCCTGTTTCGCGAAAACCTTCTCATCCATTTCGCATCGCCGTTTGGCTTTCCAAGAGTTGGTTGAAAGAGAAAGAAAATCAGAGTAGAAGAAAATGCGGATGGCGTGAATTTGTTTCGGGTGGACCTCAAGTTGCAGAGAAGTGACCCACACACTTGATTTCATGACCTTCTTCTGTGGCACATATGGAACGAGACATGCAGAATCCACTTATGAAACAGCAACGGACTGCCGCTGATTCTGTTATAATTTTAGGTGGTGCCTTCTGCTGCTTTTTGGAGCAGAATATCAAGAGGATACTTTCCCGGCCACTAAAATCTTAAAGTCTTCAAGGCTGGCGTTAACCTTTATCATTCACGCATACCCGAATAAACTGCAATTCTTATTCTTACAACTCATACAACAACTGCTTTCATTAACGCTCTACCTTTAATCAATCTTAACATGAACAAATTAAGATTGCCTAAAAAATTGTTTTACCATTCTCTCTCTTCCCTTCTCTGATACACACACACACACACACACACACACACACACACACACACACACACACACACACACACACAGATATATATAGTGTACGATGGATAAATTGTCGTCTAAATTATGCAAAAATGAAAATAACACTGACATCTCATTTTGACAGATATATTTAACAAAATTACACAAAAACATCTTGAAATGCTAAAGCGGAAATTTATTCAATAAAATCCCCCTTGGCTTCAACCACGGCCTCCAGACGACTTCGGAATCTTCTGCAACTCCTCTGGACGGTCTCCTTGTTTAAGTTGGTGAATGCTGCCACAATCCTTGCTATCGGCACATCTTTGGTGTTAAAAGGTTTTTTTTTATCTCTCGCTTAACCGCACCCCACACATAATAATCAAAGGGATTGCAGTCTGGGATGTTAGGTGGCCAGATGTCAGGGTTGATGTGGCCGCAGAAATTGTCTGACAGCCATGACTGGATTCTCTTGCTTGTGTGACATAGTGTAGAGTCATATTGGCAGACATAGGTTCTTCCAGCTACCACCCACTTGACTCAGGACAGAACTACCTCCTCAAGGCACTTGATCTAGATCTTCGTGTTGAGTCTGAGGCCCTGTGGGAAGATGAATGGAGGCATAACGTCGCCATCACTAGTGATCACTCTAAACACCATGATGTTGACTGGACATATCATTCAACTCTTTCCGAATCCTCCGCACTAAACACTCTAAAAATGTTCGTATTGGAGCTCCCGGCGCGAATGCCAAGCAGTACAGCGTGCCGTTTCCAAATTTCTGTGGGGTGGGGGGAATTGCGTTATGGTACTCTTTTTCTCACAGACGATATCCAACTGACATCACTATACCATGCAGTCAACAAATCAAAAACAAAAAATGCGCATGCACCCCATATATATATATATATATATATATATATATATATATATATACAAGGTAACCCAAAAAGTTCTGTCCGTTTTTTGATTAGTCATTGAATGAAGTTGAAATATATACGAAATGCGTGTAGCAATTGTTTTCAAATTCGGACAGCCGGAAGTAGGAACATCAGACGTTATAAAAAACATCAGTTATAAGCCGAACAGCTGTGAGAAGGATGGAAGTGTGTAGAGATCTCGTTCGGGGCTGTTTGCTTCACGACTTCAAAGTAGGCTTATCAGCAGCTGCATCAAGTCGCCGCATATGTCAAGCGTTTGGGGATAGTGCCATGGATGAACGTACTGCAAGGCGTTGGTTTCGAAAATTCAAGTTGCGAGATTTGTCTCTCTATGATGAGCCTCGCAGTGGACGACCACAGGTCTTGAATGACGGAATCCTGAAGGCGGCCATTGAAGAGGGCAGTAGTCTAACGTGTGGTGAACTTGCAAGACAGTTCAACGTTTCCGAGGAAACAGTTAGACTTCACCTGCACCGCCTAGGTAAGATGTACAAACTGGGTAAGTGGGTTCCGCAAACGCTGTTGGAGGTCCACAAGGGACAACGAGTGGCAGCCTGCGTAACGCTGCTTTCTCGCCACCGTACCGCATCCTTATTCAATCGAGTGCTTGCCAGTGATGAAAAGTAGGTTATGTACGAAACTCCCAAGCGTTCCAGACATTGGTTGTCTCCTCAGGATGCTGTCCCTCACACCACAAGACCGCCTATGCACCCACGCAAGATTATGCTTTGTGTCTGGTGGACAGGTCGTCAAGTGGTTCATTATGAACTGCTACCAACGGGCCAAATGGTTATTGGAGACCTATACTCGCAGCAATTGAAACGTGCGCAACAGGCATTGCGCCAGAAGGAGCCAGCACCGGTGAATCGCAAAGCTGTGCTTTTCCTCCATGACAACGCCAGGCCGCATGTCGCGCGAGTGGTCAGGGATACAATATAGCAACTGGGGTGGGAGACTTTGTGCCATCCACCTTATTCACCTGACCTTGCGCCATCCGATTACCACCTCTTCCACTCCCTGGATAATCATCTTCGTGGGAAATCCTTCACCAATGAAGCAGACTTGCGCAAAGCACTTACGGGCTTCTTTGCGTCAAAATCCCCCAAGTTCTACGGCAAGGGCATTGAACAGCTGGAGACACGTTGGCAGAAGGTGCTGGATGCCGATTACTTCGAAGACTAAATATCAGTTACACATACTGTGAAGCGTTTTCTTTTTTTCCCTTTAAAACGAACAGAACTTTTTTGGTTACCTTGTATATATAAGAAATTGAGTGCAGGATTGGAAAGGCTAATCCTCCCTTCGGTAATCTTTATTCCTGGATTTGGAATACATGTCATGTTTTCTTTAAGGTGCAAATTTGAAGTGTACAAGTCAGTAGTACCGACATCATTAATCAATGGTGCAGAATCTTAGACTCTGTACCGACTGTAACATCAATCAACTTGATGCCTTCGATATGTGTTGCCTACGTACGATCTCCAAGAGACATCTGGGTGAAAGCATTAGAAGAAGTGAAGTTCTGACTAAATGCAACATGATGGGTACTGAAATCATCCTAATGAAAACCCAACTCAGGTGGGCCGGACATCTTTCTTGTATAAGCAATAGCAGGCTTTATTTTTTATAATTTCGCCCCAAGTATGGCTGGATTGCCATTAGTACGCATGTTTTTACAGAGAGTGAAAATGAGAATTTGAGGAAAGGATGAAAGATGAACAAATTTCAAGACAATAGAAGATGGCGATTGACGTTGCATTTAAATTTTTGAAGATTGTAGCAAGACAACGGACGTAAACTGATTGGAGGTCCTTTTCATGAGCAGCGGCCATGTTAACTTTGTCTGCTCTGATGGATTTGCTATTGAGACAGAAGACAGAAGTAAATGGTAGTGTTATTTGTATAAATGCGTACTTGGGAGCTGATGACATCAGGAAGATCACTGATAAAGATCAGACACAGTGTAGGACCCAGGATAGAGCTCTGGAGGACATCCACGACATTCATGTGAAAGGATCTGGAAGCGAGCCCGTCCAGAACGACCTTCATTTCACGATTAGATAGGAATGACTAGATTAAATAAAACAATCTTCCTATAACACCATAGCTCTGAAGCTTATGTAGAAGACCGGCAATCCAAACTCTGTCAAACGCCTTTGCGATATCTAGAGCCACAGTTCGAGCTTCGTCGTTATTATCAAGAGCTTGATATACATATTCAGTGATGGCTGTAAGCACGTCAACAGCAGACCAGGCAAAACCGAATAGGTCGTGAGAGTCGAATGCTGAGTTGGAAAAGAATTTCCGAACAAAGCATTCAACTTTATCTGCTGTATATGTCAAGACTTCGAATTGATTGAATAGAGGACGGAATGAGGATTTACTCTATTTAAATTATTCGGACTATCGTCCTCATCTTTGTTGCCATATTTGTCATAACGTTTCGGCCGTTGTACGCTCCGGCCTTCTTCAGGTGGTTGGAATGTCGAACTGAATTCCAACCACCTGAAGAAGGCCTGAGCGTACAACGGCCGAAACGTTGTGGTAAATATGACAACAAAGATGAGGAAAATAGTCCGAATAATGTAAATAATGTACATAATACCTCATCTCAGAAATATAGTACGATATTGAGGATTTGCTGTTGTCCAGCACATTCTTACAGAGCAGCCAATAATCTCTGGAACCGAATTTGCGAGATGCTATATGTTGCTTCATTCTATCAGCAAGCAGCTTCGCTTCATTGAGGACACGCTTGCACTCGTTACGAACAGAGATAAAGATACGTCTGTTGCAATCAGAGGTGTCTCTCTGGTACAGCCGGAAGAAGTAATTCTTGTAGTGGCTGAGCATGCAGGTGGAGACCAAGGAGATGAACTTGGTTTAACTTGGTATTTCCTTGCTGGGATGAAAACATCGATGACGCCTTTCACCCAGACGCGCATTTTTGAACAGGATGATTAAAATGATCAACATTTCAAGGGACGTCAC